GCTAGACTTAGGTGCTGTGACAACCACGCCTGTTCCTGAGGGTGTCCAGAGCTCTAGTCATGCACAGCTTTCTAGTGAGCTGATCTCTGCTATAGTGCTTGATTATTTTCTTAGCCAAAAACAATTTCAGAAGCTATGTCAGGATTACAGGCTTTCACCAGCTACAGGTAATGCTGTATTTCCTGACTGACAGATCTGTGCTCCCAGAAGCTCTTAGAGCTGACAGTTCCAGTGACGCAGTTACTTTACCAAGCAGATTTGTTTCCTTTTGGCAAGGAGGTGGGGGTGAGAGATGGGAAGGAGATGGGGACTGGCAAACCTTGTTACATACAGCTTTTGACATGGCTTTTGACTTCTGTCTGCTCAGTTGCCACACAGGTCTCCAGAGCCAGCAAGCAGTGGGATGACTGACAACAGAACACACTCTGTAAGGATTACAAACTGATAGGTGGCCCTTTTTCAGGAAGAGGTAGCCTCATGGTAACGGGACAGGGCAATGCACCGATTCATTACGTGGTTAAATTATTACAGTTCGTTGTTAGCTTATTGCATGCCTCCCTACATTCTTGGCCTCTTCCCAGAAAGAGGGAGGCCCAGAAATGCCCATTTCAAAGATGATTTTCCAGTTCAGTTCACCGTTCCTGTAACATCAGCAATAAATCTGCACTCTGTTGCTGCCCAGTCTGGGATCAGCTGAGGGGGTTGCATAGAACATCTTCCATTAGGACTGGTTGATAAAAAACATTAGAAGTATTTGAGATGAGCACAGGAGAGGATTGTTTTGCAGTCTCCTTGTTTAACCATAGATGAGGAAGTTCACACTGACTCTTATCAGTTGCACAGTTAAGGTAGAAGTACCTGTCGCTCCTCATGTTTCCCGTGAATTTCTATCATGTCTCCAAGCACCTTCACTTTGAGCTCCTCAGGGGAGAAATGCTTCACGTCAAGGTTTACAGAAAACTTGTCCTTCTCCAGTCGCATCTGCAAAATAAGGAGGTGACTTCAGAAAAGAGCAGATGAGGGTTTCAGCTTAAAAAGGCTCTCAGAAAACAGCAGTTCAAGACTCAGGCTGCTATCTACACATGCACTGTCTGACCTTCATTCAATCCTGGGATTCAGATCTGGGTGGCTTTGTCCCTTGCTGTCTGTTACACTGATGCCCATCACTACAGAATCTAAAATGTGAATACTTTCTCTTGATCACATGGGAAAAATGCTTTCCTTGGGAGTGAGGAAGAGATTCTCCTAATCTGAATTTGTTAAAACTGACTCTTTAGTCGGTGTACAGGTTCTACATACAATTCTTTTTAGAGAATGTCTGTAGGTTTACAGTATCTGTCACTGGATTTTCCCAAGTTTTTAAAGAAAAAGAAACCATGACTGTGCAGCTGACTGCAGCTCATCTGCAGGCTTGCAGACTTTCCCCTGCATCATCACTCTTTAGTAACCAAAATAATGTGTCACTGGCAAGCAGTACTGCCTCACTGCTCACCTCTGTTTTCTGAGCAGCAGGACTTCTGCTGAAACTCTGAGTCACCCGAGTCACCTGCTGCTAATCTCACCTCCTTCCCTTCCATTTTGCACTTTATTTCCTCTAACAAATACTGCTTTTTGCTGCTTCCTGAGGTTGGATTTGCATTTTCTGCCTGTCTTGGACATGTTTGTGGGAGTTTGGTATGTGAGCTGGCTGTCTCTGCCTTCCTGCTGCGTTCATGGTCAGGGTATATGGGAGCCTCCTAGAGCTCTGCTCTGAGATGTGGAGGCAGCATCTGTGCCAGCTCTAGGCTTACTGGTTTCCGCAGTTTGACCTGGAAGTCTTAAGTGCTTTCTGCTCCTTTGAGATTATTTGTGAAGACTTCTCCACTGAGATAGTCAGACGTTGTTATCTGTGGTGCTTATTATGGCTGCTTTGGTGGACAGCTAGGTCACTAAATCAAGGGAAACATTATGCAAAGATTAAGAAAACACTTTCCTCTCACTCTTTTGGCTTAAAATAGCTCTACAAGTTACTTGTAAATAAGACGGTTGACTCACAGAACAGACAAGGTTGTTTGAACTGCATGCCTCTTGGCTCAGCCCCTGAAGCAAGCAGACGGCTGCTTTGGTGATTGTTCTGCTCTTCTCAGCAGTGACTCTTTAAAATAGTCCCCTTTTTCCTCAGCAACCGTAAGCTCCCACACTGTTTGCCATGAGGATACCACTACCCCTGCCCACTACTAGTGCTGTTTGCTTCTCACAAGGGAGTGACATTGAAAGTTCTGCAGAGCAGACGGGGAAATTAGGTTTCCTCCTTTCTTCCATCAGCTCTTACAGTTGCACACACTCAGCTCAGTTTGTCTCTCTGTTGGACTTGGCAGTGCTAGGTTTATGGTTGGACTCGATGATCTTAAAGGTCTTTTCCAACCAAAACAATTATATGATTTTGTCATCCTATTCTGAACACTGGTGGTAATATTTGCTCTCAGCCACAAATGAAGAGCAGAGCATGCAGAGGTTCTTGTCTAAGGCAGAGGAGCAGAGGCACAAACACAGCACCCTTTTCCCTAGCCTTTTCCTTATAACCACCTACAAGCAGCTTCCAAGCTCTCAGCTCTTGTGGGCCTCCAGCTCCGGACCCATCAGGATGTGCACACAGTGATAACAAAGAGTATTAAGGAGGGAAGATTACCTCAGAGAGTCCCGTCTCTAGCCAACTGGGCATCCGAAGAATGGGCGATCTCATCAGGAAGGGAGGAAAGAGGCTGGGGGAAGCAGGGAGTAGCTCTGACTCCTGCAGGTGCTCTCCAAAAATCTGGTCAAAGATACGACTTGGTGCCAACCAAGATAACAGAGGTCTGCGGATCAGGGGGTTATGAATGGTGATATCCATTGGAGTGCGCTGGAGGAGCCTGGCAAACAACTGTGCTGCAGTGCTGTGCCGGGAGCAGGGCACAGCTTTATACCCGCGCAGCTGGCCTGGCCTTCCTCCCCCCCCCTCCCCGAGGCCTCTTGAACAGTGGTGTCAGGGATTTTATTGTCCCACTCCTGGGCTGGTCCCTTCAGCAGTGCCCAGTTGCTGTCTGGGGGATTTGAACACACTGCTGAGGAGGAGGGGGAAGGGGAGAAGAAGACAAGGAGCCTAATGGGGCAGCAAGAAGCCAAAATGCCCAGCCACCCGCCCCACTCCCCACGTGCTGTTTATCTGCAGAGTCCCAGGCAGGCTTGGCGGATGTTCCCAGCTGCTTTGGATACCAGCAGGATCAATGCAGCTCCTATCTTTGGCTCAAAGGGAAAATGACAAGGGGCCGTTGTTCCCACTGCCAGCACCAAGACTTCAGCTCCTCACATCACCCACCAGTCTAGGAAGAGCTCTGCCTCTCCTTAAGGCAAAGGAAGCCACAGGCCTGCTTTAGTCAGAGGGCAGGAAAGATCCCAGGAGGTCTTTGCTGTGGCAGCCCTGGCAGTGTGGCTCTCTGCAGCCCAGTAAGCCCTACTGCTTTAGTGCATGCCCATTGGTGTGTGTGTGTGTGTGTGTGAATAAAGGATGGCTTTCTCCACAGTGCTTCAGCCCAACACCTCTTGTCTTCTGCCCACTACAGAAACCACCTTGCTGGGGAAAGCAGAAGAGGCTGACACTCTGTGACCTCAGAGTACTCTGGAGGGTCATGAGCAGAGATAAACTGGGCATGCCAACAGCCTCCACGGTGCTGCAGTGCCACATGCCTTCTCAGGGATGCAAGCTACCTCTGCTTGTGCCTCTGCAGTAAGCTGATTTCCTATAATTATGCTCCTAATACATCTTAATTCACACATTTATTTTAATTCCTGCCTCGCCTGTGAACCTAAACCATGCGAATGGGTTCAGCATAGCAACTGTCCTTAAAGGGTAAGAGGTAGTCTTTGCCTCTGAGAGCTTGCAATTTAAATACAACTACAGGCTCAGAGGCACATCATTCTTACTGCCAGCGCCACCAGTCCCTTGCAAAAGGGCCTGACCCTCTTCCTCTGAGCTTGCCTGAAAAAATAGAGAGCAGAATTTGCTCTGTGCAACAGCTCAGGCCATAAATACCTTCTCCAATTCCCCATTACATCAAGAGCAGTGCACCTGCTCTCTCATACTGCAGGGACATGGACTCAAGGAAATATCTGGTTTCAGGGTACCAGGAGCTTAACGGGGCACTACTCCCCTCCCTGCCCCCTCTTCCCTGTTCAATAAAACTAGACCTATGCCAGCTTCCACAGCTTCAGGTCCCTGGTTAACTTGTGACCTCTGGCACAGGCATTTCTCTAGGTCTCATTACATTGTGCCAAAGCCCTGGACAGCCAGCTTGCAGCAGCACAGTTTGAGATGTGGAGGTGTCAGCAGTGGGTTCTGGATCCTATCTAGCCCTGCTTAACTACTTGAAGCACTTCACCTCTCACAGGAACAAAAGACTTGAGCCCAGCTTCTGGGAAAATCATGCTCTTTTGTGTAGGGCACAGGAGGTGCTAAGCTCACAGTGGGGCGATGGGTGTGTTAGTGACTCCACATGACTTTGCACTACCTGATCAAGCACCAGCCTGCATTAGCTACTGCCCAATCCCCACATGGTGCTTCAGGGTCAGCAGGGCCAGTGTCAGGGACTTGAAACTGCTCACAATGAGCCTTCTCACTGGCCCTTGCCTTTGGGAGCACCACAAGCATAGAGCCTGTGGTCTGTCCTTCTTTCTCCTACTTCAGCCTCCCTTAGCACATCTCTGTGCCTCCCTGCTGTACTTGGTTGCCCATTTGCCTCCTGCATCCCCTGCTCAAAAGGGAATATCAGAGGCTGGGAGGAGGTGCAGGATTTTCCCGAGGTGTCCCTGACTGCAGGCAGTGCCTGCACTCCCCGCTGGAATGCAGGGAGAAGCTTCCCTCGTCACCCTGGCGAGGCATCCCGGGGCCTGTGCGCGAGGCTATTTTGGTCCATCTTTTTATCACACACTCCTCCCTGTGGAATTCACCCAATTAAAACCTTGCAATCTGCAGCCTTCACTCTCAGAGGCAGTGAGTGCTTGGAAGGTCCCCTTCCCAGACACACCATGGCTGCACGGACTGTCCCCCACGCCTACCCCATGAGTTCGGAGTACGAGTTTGCCAACCCTAGCAAGATCTATGACCAGAACTTTGGAGAAGGTAAGAAAGGGGAGGGGATCCCCCTCAGTATCTTTCTCTCCTCTGGTGTAGGATGGCTGGTGGAGTCCCCCTGGGAAGATTGAGCTCCAGAGCAGGCTAGGGAAGCTGGAGCCAGGGAATTTTGAGCAAGAGAACTCAGGTCAAATCAGAGGGGAATATCCAGGGAATAGCCAGGGTCTCTCTCTTCAGGTCCACTTCCTCCATCCATGCCTACTGCTGTCTCTCCTGTCCCTCCCTCATGCCCTCAGTGGTCTGGCATTCATGCATATGCTGTGCAAACATGGAGCAAAATGCTCCGGCGGGCAGGGGGGGTGGTGGGGTGGGGTAGGTTTTGCAGCCGGGGGCTGTGCAGAAAAGCTGAGCTGGGATGTTCAGCACAAAGCCGGGCAGCGGCTGGCAGAGGGGAAGGAATGTGGGCAGCAGCAAAACCATTCAGCACCAGCACAACAGCGTGAAAAGGCAAAAAGCTCCAAGGAAAGCCCCCTGGACAATGGCACACAAAAGGCCTTTAGTTGTCCAGGGCAGTTTCTTCACCATCAGCATTTTCCATGCCCATCCCTGACTGTGGGCTTTGCATTGCAGAGTGCCCAGTGCACCTACCAGTCCCTCCCTGTCCACCCAGCAGACATGCAAAAGCTGGATGCCAGCCCTTGGCTTGCTAGCAGCTGCCGGCTGTGTGGTGGGAGGCAGTTGGCTGGCAGGCATCTGGCTCTGTGTGCGTTTTGGAGACACAAAGGTAGGAACTGCAAGAGACTCCATCCATATTGTGCTGATGTGGTGGCAAAACCAAGGTGTTTGCCAGGTCCCAGCCTCCTCCTGTCACCCTCCCCTATCTGCTGCCAACCATCCTTCTCCAACTCCTTCCCCTGGAAAGCTCACACTCCTCACTGAGTCTCATTTTCAGGTGTGTCCCCATGTGAGATTTTAGCCCCTGCCCTGTACCATGGCTACTACATCAGGCCTCGCATCAATAAGCAGCTGGATAGAGGCACCTCTGAGATCAGCCTCAATGAGCACAAATTCCAGGTGTTCCTGGATGTCTGTCACTTCTTGCCGGATGAGCTCACTGTCCGCACAGTAGACAACCTGCTGGAGGTGATGGGGCAGCACCCACAGAAGGCTGATCGCCATGGCTTCATCTCCCGAGAGTTCACCAGGACCTACATCCTCCCTCTGGATGTCGACCCCTTGCTGGTGAGAGCCACATTGTCCCATGATGGCATCTTAAGCATTGTGGCTCCTCGGACGGGGAAGGAGGTGAAGGCCAGAGTCAACGAGGTGAAGATAACCCAACAGGAACAGCCAGTGGGGAAAGAACAGTCTGAAGAAGGAAAAGGGAAGGAAGAGTCCTAAAGGCCCCAGATCTGGGCTTGAGCAGGGAGGGAGGGGGGACGGGGATGGGAAATCCACGGTGCCAGACACCTATTTCACCATCAGTGTTTAGCAGGGCTGTGAGGCAGCCATATATATGCCAGACTTCTGTTTCTGAAGGCTGATGGCTGGAAAAAGGGACTTGGAACTGAAAAAAACAGGGGAACTAAAGTGTTAGCGTGAGGGACTGTAATGCAAGTTTTCTACTAAGTCCAGTGCTCATTGAGCACCATGCAGGGTGCTCTTCTCTCACCTGAAATGGCAAGGGTCACTCTTACCCTAAATTGTGAGGCTGTGTCACAGTGGACTGTTAAACAGCTGCTGTGCTCTAGCCCAGCAGGGTACTGGGAAAAGGGAAGAGATGATCCCAGTGCCCTGCTTCTGAGCTGGTGGCTGACCTTTGTGGAGATGGAAGGTGCTTGTTAGTCTGTAAAAAAGTGCCTGCAGCTCTCAGGAGGAAAGAGGAATAAATCTGCCTCTGATCTTCTCTTGTTTGCCTTGGATTCATGTTGCTTCTGGCCAAGCTACTCCGCAGCAGGAAGGATGGACAGTGCCTTAGCTGCTCCAGATGAGGGGAGCAGAGCAGCAGAGAGTTCACACTGAGCTCATCTGTGGAAATGGCATCAGTGGGGACTTGGAGGGACTCTATCCACAGGGCAGTCAGGGCAACCTCTGTGACTGGCCCTCCTGGCTCAGGTGCAGCTGGAGTTGCTTGCTGTGGTAGGGTGCCCACAGTGGGCAATAGCCTCAAGGAGAAAAGATGTAGAGTCATGGGCTCTTGGAGGTTCACTGTGAATTTCCAGATCTGGAGCTGGAGTCAGCCCAGTTGAACAAATGCCAAGCCATGGTCTCTGCTTGCTTCAGCCCTCTAGTTTATGGGACATAAGGCTTGTTCACACACAGACCTTTTCAGCCCTTGTGAGAGGAGTGAATCCCAGAATGCTGAAGGGAAAGGCATTGCTCAGACCCCAAGTGCCTTGCTGGCATCCCAGCATTCTCTGTAGAGTCACAGAGGGGATGAATTTGGCCTCTTTTGCAGACACCATGATGCTACTGGCTACATGAGAAATGTCTCTGTAGTCCTGTGATATTGGGTCAGGGATCATGTGTGCTGCTGTTGGTGGCAGCTGCTGCCTCAGATGGCCCAGAGGGCTCAGCAGGTGCCAGCTGCAATCCTTGTCTTGTTAGAGCCAATTAAAGCAGCCAAAATGCTGTGTCACTGGCCAAATATGGAGGTCCCTGGCATGCCTCAGTGCAGCCCTCTCACAGGGGGGAGAGGAGATTCCTACATCCCTGTGGACAGAGCTTCTCCCTCTTCCTGCTGGGATGTGACCTGCAGGCTTCTGCATTCTGTCTCCACAAACACAAAGGACCAGAAATGCCCTGCTCAGGAGTCTATTCCATGCAGCATATCTCCTCAGTTGCTGAAACACTGGTATAAGGCTGCTTTTTCACCCTTGCCAGGCAAAGTGGGCTCCAGACCAGTGTGAGCCACTGTGCAGCTATTTTCTACTTCTCAGGGCCCCTGCCAGCAATGAAGATCAGAGTCAAATTAAGAGCAGCCCTGCCTGCCAGCCTCATGAGAGCAAGCGGGAGGACGGCGATGCTGCCATGCTCCCCTGGTGCAGACCAGATACCCACACTCACAGTAGGTACTGCTGAGGGATGCCCTTACTCATGAAGCAGGACCAGATAAGCTGCTGGCAGTAAGTATTTCAGACACTGAAATAAAATAAAAATCACCTTTACAACAGGCTTTGTCTAAGTCCAGAGATAATCCTGGGCTCGTGACTTTCACCTGAAGCAGCTGCTTGTAAGGGCAGGAACAGCCCAGTCCTTAACTGCTCCTGTGTACAAGCATCTCTCTGCTCCTCAGTGCATGTCACACCAGCCTCATGCACTGCACCAGATACATATCACAACTCATTTGCAGCAGCACTCACTGAGTCCTGAGTCCCAGGAGGGCTAAGTTCCTGAGCCCATACCCCTGTGGTGAGGGCAGAGACCTCTGATGTGTGTGGGCTCGAGCACGGCCGTAATTTCCTTAGTTCCCTGCCGTAAAAGGATTCCTCAAGCTCACAGCCACTTCAGAGCAGCAGCTATAAAAGGCTTTTCTTTCCCTCTGACCATGCATCTTCTGTGCTGGTAAGGAGGATCAATGGTCCCCTCGCTCACTGCAGCCCTGCTGTTACTAGGATAAACATATTCACTGGAGTTGGGATAGGGAGGATGGCCAACATAACCTGCAAGCTGGGCAAAGAATGCCTGGCTGAAGAAGTGCACATACACACACAAAGCAGCCATGGCACACTCTACTGCATGAAATGCCACCCGGCTCTGACTCTGCAACACAAGGGCTGTGTGTTTCTGAACCACTGGGGGTTGAAAACAGCATGTGGCCAGGGCTGGGGCTGCACAGGGAATGGATTCTAAGGCAAAGTGCCCCAAACAGTTCAGAGCCCTCTCTCCTTCATTTTTTATAGACAATGACAGTTCATTGTGTGCCTGTACCACACCTGTCACAGAGTGGTCCCAGTCCCTCGCTGTCTGAGGTACCTTGATACTATTGGAATACAAAGGCACAGCATTAGTAGTCATTATACACTTCTGTTCCAACTCCAGCTTTTATTAGTTCTATCTTTGCTCTCCAACAAGTTCATTCTCTATTGCTGGGCACTTGCAGGCTCGTCCTGTGCCAGTTGCACAGCTTGTTACCCAGACGGTGTCCCTGAGTGCATGAAGACAGCTGCCCCGAACAGTGACGCAGTGAGAGGGGCTGGAACTGCCTGGTGTCAGCCACTGGCCTGTTCCTCTGCATCCTGGCAGACTTTGCACAAAATAGCCTGATCGGTTTGCTGAGCAGGAGCACTGGAAGCCATGTCCTCTTTCATCCCTGCAGACATAGACTGAGGAGGGAATGCAGAGTGGCAGCCAAATGCTCTCCAGCTCTGCCAATGTTTTTGATGCCTTTCTGTTTCTCTGGTGGAGCTCAAACTAGCAGCTCCAGTATTTGTGAAAGGTGCTGGTGGGAACAGGCTCTCAGCCTTTTTTTATTTTCCTCTCCACAAAGCAACAAAGCCCAAGTTATCCCAGAAATCTAAACAGACACTGGCTCACTGAATCAACAGCGTCTGTGGCAAGCGCAGAGGCACACAGTCTGCAACTTCCCAAGCAGGCACAGACTCCTGAGACCACCTGGTCTTTGCAGGGCCCTGAGAACATGGTCCTGTTGGGATCAGGACTGAATCCCATCTGCCTGCATAAATCCAATCTTCAATTCTCCTCGGGGTACTGTGGTGCAAGCTGACCTGTGCAATTTCTCCAGCAACATGCTGAGGAGCAGTTTTGGAGCAAGATTCAGGCTCTGCAGGTCACAGTGCAGCTCATCTAGGGCTCAGCTAAGAGAGAAACTCTGCCCCATGGTCCTTCCAAAGCAGAGCCCTTTTTCTCCTGCCACTTCTGGACAAGTATAAGCTTTGCTCTGCACTTAGGCAGATGATAAATGATGCTGTGAGTCTGGCTGAGAGCATGGGTACAGCTGGAGCAGGGGACTAGGGCTGGTTCCTGAGATAGCCCACCAGAAGGATGAATTAAAACCTAGCCACTTGTCAGCACATCCCAGGAGGCACTCAGGCCTGCACAGAACTGGGGCTGACTGCCAAATCAAAGCTGTGGAGCACAGTTTCCACTGGAGGACTACATTAACATGGTATCTTTCAGTACTGAGTATCAGCTCTGTTAGAGCTGCCAGAGATCAGCTACTTGTCCATCCGGAATGACCAGCCACAGCCTGAAGGGCCCTCAACAGGGGCAGAGAGGTAAAATTCACACTAATATTCCTGTTTGACAGGCTGAAGGGTGAGCCTAACAGCTGTATTGCAGGTCCTTAATGATGCGAGGTCCCTCATGGGATTCCATCATTCCCAAAAGCACAAATCTGTACACATTTATCTAGGTAACTTCCATGATTCCCAGTAATGCCCCTGAGATTGCATGTGCCTTTCTGCCTACAGCAGAAGCAGCAGCACTAGAGCGTAGCTGAGAGTAGACCTGCAAGCCTGCTCTCACCCTCGCTGGGGCATTGCCTCCTTCCCAAGAAGATACGCTCTCTTTTCCAGGTGAGAGCAGCCTATGCCACATATTTTTATGACATCCTGCTTGAGATGCAATGATGAACAGCGGGAACAGCACCAAGAGCTCCCACCCTGGTGTTCTTCCTTTTGTTCAGGACCATTTGAAGTCCCTGCTCCATCCTTTTTTCGTACCACTGCTGGCATCAGCAGGATGGCGCTGGTGGGAGAGCCGGATAGTAGAAGGACATCCAAATCATAAAGCAGAATTTTAGCCCCAGGGCTGAGGCCTGGAGACATGATGCTGCCGTGCCCTCTCCTCTCTGGGCAGCCAGAGGTTAGCACAGGCCCCCGGACACAGAGAGCCCAGGGCAAGCGCTCCGGTAGATGGCATGCACGGGCTGAGCAAAGCCTCGCTGCAACGATGGAGAGAAATCTGACGCTGCCAGACACTCCCTTGGAATAGCCAGGGACCGAGCAGGAACCAGGAAATACAAGCTCTCCCTGTCCAGAAAACACTTCTGCTTCATGGAGGAGGGAGCGACATGGGCAATCGCTGCAGCTGCGGGCGACCATGGTGAGTACGGCACCTGCCAGGTAGAGGGGTGGCAGACAAAGCTCCGGGCAGTGTGAGCACAAGTTTGGGTGGACTTTGCAAGCTTTGCTTCCTTGTGCTGGGTTTGTGAGGGCTCCCACCTGGCTCCCAGCCCTGCACCTTGCCAGCTCACACAGAAACTGAGGACAAGTGAGCAGCGCTTTGGGCCGCTGCTGTGCAGGAGGCTGGGGCAGCCCCTGCCTGCCAAAGGCAGGATAGGGGCAGGCAAAGGGGCTTCGTTGCTCACATCTCAGCCCAGACGGGCTGTGGCACCTCCTGGGACTGGCAGCTTGGGTTCCCACAGCCATGCCAGCAGCTGAGAATAGCTCATTTCTAGGAAGGATCTAGTTAAAATCCCTGTCCTTGCCTCAGTGGTCTCTGGCCAGGTGCAGACCGTAAGGTGTCCCTTTGGCATGCTGCAGGGAAGTGCCTCTGAGGCAGTGCTGGCACTAAGGGCTTACGAGGTGGCTTCCCCATCCTGCTCTGAGCTCCTCCAGCCCCTCTCCCTGCCTGAGTCTGTCTGGACTTTATTTGTGCTTGGGAAATCCTGGCCACGTTTTTCAGATGATGTTGCTCTTCCTCCCTGGAAGGGAGGATGACAGTTTAATCCCTCCTGGCTCATGTTGTTCCCTGGACCTTCTGCTTACAGAAGAAGGGCACAGTGAAGCATTATTCAATGCCAAGTGGAAACATTTTCAGCTCTGAGAGTGGTACAAGAGGGAGAGCCATGAATATCCGATGAAGCTCCGAGGACATTCTCTCCAACACTACATTTGTTAAAAATATTAGAAATTCATCAGGGTGTTTTAATAGTTGCAAGAGGCACAGCATCATCTAGTGGCTGAAGCAGAGGAGGAGGTTCAGGACACCAAGGTCCTTCCAATCTCAGCCCGGAGCTGGAGGGCAGAGGAGTTTGGGGTTTAGGAACAGGAACTGCAGGTGGGAGGTGGAAGGCTGGTTCTTAAAATGTCCCCCACCAGAAGTCCCACTTTCTACTTCCTCTAACCTGTGGCAGAGGGTAACTGAGGCACTTCAGGACAGCAGCTTCATTACTGCAGCGGACAAGGGCCTGATCAGGGAACGCCTGGGGCACAGGCTTGTTCCCTGGAGCAGAGCTGCAGTTGCCAGGCACATTACTGATGCTGTGTGGAGGGGAGAGCCATGCTACAGCACAGACTGTCAAAGCCAGAGGCTCTGGAGTACAGACAACACCATTACAACATATGCTGTGGTGGCACTTTCAGGTCCAGACAGTGACAGGCCATGCACACACTTCTGCCTGCAAAAGGAAGTATAAACCAGAATCTCAAGGTCACTCATCTATGCAGGACCAGGCAGGAGAGCAGCCTTCTGCTCCATTTGGGGAGCAGCACAGTGGCATCTGCCTCGTTCAGGGCTCTATCAAATTCTGCTCCCCCAAGGCTACTGGATGGGGACTCCTGTGTCCCACTTGATTTTTTTCCCAGAGGTTGCATGGAAAGTAAGAAGTTGGGATGGTATTTCTGCTGGTAGTGTCACTACTACCTTCTGGCATATTTGTGCAGCAGGGGGCAAAGCTCTGGCCAAAGACCCTTTTGACCCCAGCACCCTGTGGGACTCAAGTGCCTTATAGACTGTGCAGTGAGGAGAAAGCAGAGTTCTCTCCACCGGAGCAACATTCCCTGTCCTGCACATGGAAAGACATGGGTGAAATAGGGCATCAGGCTCCCAGACTGTCCCTGTGTTGTGCAGGCTATTCAAATGGGCTCTGAACAAGGAGAGAGGAAGGCAAATGGGAAAATGCTTTTGGTAACATGGGCTTGGAGACACCTACAGAGGACCACAATCAAGAGCAGACTGGTGCACTGAAGCCCCACTGCAGACATTTGCATGATTCATAGCTTTCCTTTTGGTGACAGAGGGGAAAAAAGTGGTACTTCATTTTAGTTCAGGTGTTTCCATCCACATATACTGCTTTTATTTCTGGATATTTACTCAGCACCACAGCTGTGTCAGCAAAGAGCTGGGCTTCCTAAATAAAACTGAAACTTAGGAAAGGGCTCAAGGAACGTAGGCATCCACCTTCTCCTGAATGGAAGATCCTTGTCATAATCACTACCAAAGCACTGGCCCTAAGGGAGACGGAGCAAAGAGCAAGAGACTGAGGAGGTTTCCTTTAAAGAAAAGCCATTTCAGCAAGTTTATTCAGAGAAGAAAGTTACTGATGAAGGAAAGTGTGCCCTCAGGCCTGGGTACCTCTGCAGGTATGGCCCTGTGGAGGGCAGGCCCCAGGTATCCTCACCACTTGGTTTAGTACTCAGGTCTTCTGGTGTGCCTGGACAGCAAAAGATGCCAAAATTCAGGACCCACTGTGAAGCAGGCTTGTTGTAGGGCAGAAATCAGGTTGGTATTGACATGGGGAAAGGGGAAGAAGCAATATAGAAGCAGGGACATGTGGACTGTCATGCAGAATACAATGTGCTTCTAGCAGGCTATTAGTTAGTTACACCACATTTGACCTGGTTTTGAGAAGCGGGGAGAAGTTTGCCCTGCTCTTGTTTCCCTTGCTTCATCTGTTCTAATTACTGCAGATCTGAGGCTGGGAGATGCCATCTCCTGCCTGCCTGCGATGAGTCTGCAGACAGCCTCAAAATAGCTCCAGCCTCCACACTGGCTGCTAATGCTCTCTCTACAGAGGAAGACAACCAAAGCAAGCAAGAGTAGCCTGGAAAGCCGATGCTGCAACCTACCTCCCAGGAAAGAGCATAGGTACCCTGTTGATTTTGCTTCAAATGATGCTGGTTTAATTAATTACATTGCACAACATGTCTGAATGCTGTAAAGACACAAAGTGCTCTAGGACACAAGCCTTGGCAAGGCAAGCTCACAGAGACAGTGAAGGAGGGAGCTGCAAGAGCCAAGTGAGAAACATGGCAAGACGAAGCAATGCTGCCTGGAGCTAGATCCCTAACTCCTGGGGGCAGTCCCCCGGATTTTGTGGTGGGACAAGGGCAGAAGGGCCATGGGTGCCTCTGTGGGGCAGCTCACAGCAAAGATATGAGAAGCAGTGTTAGAACCTTTTGCACAGGTGCCTGGCCACCCTGCCTTCCCCAAAGCTGCCTTTGACTTCTCAGGTCTAGCAAGTCTGGTTAATCATTACCGACCATTTTGAAGGTCTCCAAGTTCCTTGCCTGCTTTCGTGCCCTTTTTGTTTTGCCATTAGGGTGCCAAAGGCATTACTGCACACACTGACCTGCTCACCCGCCCACTGAAACTACCTCTGAAAGCCAACAAAGGCAGAGCTCTGCTTCAGACACTGCATTGTTCCTGCCTATAGCGGGACTGTCTGGCAAACATACACACTGTGGACATATGATGCTACTTGAGAACCATCTGGTAGCTCTGTAGCATCATTAAAAGTGCTCGCTGCCCACTTTCAGCTGCTCCCTGGGCTGCAGCAGAGACAGAGACCCGGGTGCGACCCTCAGCTGCACGCTGTGCTGGTTGGCAGCCATCACCACTTGGACATGCGTACACAGGAGGAGCCATACAAGGGCTGGCACCTGCTCTCCTCCGGCCCTCTGAGTGTGATGCAACGACAGCATTTCCTTGATGCATCTGGCCTAGAATGTGAAATATCTCTGCTGCGCCAGACAGTCTGCACCCCCTTGCCAGCACCAGCCTGCAGTAGCTCAGCTCCTGGCTCTGTTGTTACAGCTGGAATTAATCTGTCTCCTGTTCATGCCATGGCTGAAATGTAGCTGTATTTGGCTGAGAACAGGAAAACTGTCTGAAACGTTAAATTAGTGCAAGGTCTCTGCACAGTTGCTCCTTGGGCAAGGGGGACAAAGTGCAGGGTATGGGGCTATCAGAGTACCTGGTCCTAAGAGAAGGGTTTTGTGCCAATTGAGATCATACTCTGGACCCTGCATCTTTGATCACACAGCTGTGGAAATGTAATTGCAAAATTACAGTGACATCTGTTCTGATTCACTCTGATGCATGTGTGTATTGGACAGCCAGGCAAGGTTGAAAGGCAAGGAGACTTGGGGGTGTCTGTGGGGTATGGTAGTTGTCTCACAGAGGAAGGAAACATCCCCATATCTCCCCTTTGGACCTTCTCCCTGGAAGAGTCACTCAGGTTCTGTCTTGGCTTGATAGCTCCTCTCTGAGACACTTCTTGGGCCTTTCTCATTACCCACAGATGTGGTAACCTGGGGTGGTACATTTGGGCTTGCATGTTATGGTAGCAGAGGCTAGGGCTTCTCAGGGCTGACATCTCTCTCTGATTTCAGGAACTGTCCTTCGCCTTTTAAAAGAAAGAAAGAAAAGCAAGGTAAGGATTTGTGAAAATGCTTTAGAGGACAAGAAGAGGTGGAATGACTGAGCCCCTGGTTAGCTGACATTAGTCAGTGCTGACTGTGAATTGGATCCCTGAGGCTGAGGTCCCTTCCCATACTCCTTTACACCTAACCTTCCTCAAGAGAAGTTTGGTAGAAGTAAGAGGCAAGAATACTTTAAAACTTAAAGCAAGGGGTGTGATGTGCCATGGGACTTGGCAAGGGGGAGGGAAGGGACTTCAGAAGTATCTTTAAAATACTGGAGTCTCACACCAAAACACAGGCGAGTACTCTCAAGTGGCAGCATAGCAGAAGCTGCATCAAACTCTTGTAAGAACTGCAAACATCCATCTGACATCAGTCCTCCAGAATAAAGTGCAGTCCCTAATTAGCCTAGTTGTGTCCTGTGGCCTTTGGACCATGCTAGGCAAAATGTTTGCCAGACAGCAAAGGAAATAAGAGTTAAAACTGGATATGACTACTCCAAGGGCCTGACAAGGAAGCTCTCTATGCTGTGTCTGTCTTCCTAAGTTCTGCCAGGAACATTGTGGTCCACAACATGTTGTCATCCTGGGAAATCTTATTTTTTTCCAAAGAAACAAGCCCAGGCTTTCTTCTTGGAGCCAGGCCTCAGAGACACCATTAGGCTTGAGGGTGTCAGATGAGGTGGAAATTTGATTTGTGTCCAGTGGGCAGAGCCCATGGGCCAGACGCTGCATTTCTGCATTCAAAAGTGGAACAATAAAAAGTTGTGTTAACCTAATCTGCTGGTGTTTCTTTTTCAGAAACTAATGTGAGACATGAGAGCCAACAGCATCAGCCTGGCAGGAAGGTAAACAGCTTCCCAGAGTTGTTTTCCTGGCTGTATATTGAGAAGACAGAGCTGACCACCACTTCCTAGGCTAGATGGGTTGGGAGGACATGGGGCAGGTTATTCAGAGCCATGAATCATCTCATTCTGTATAGGCTTTAATGGCTATGGGAACAATGTGCATTGCTGCACCGTGATCCAGCCCCCTTTTTTCCCCCTAAAGTACAGTGGAAGCAGTAGATGAAATCTCTCTCTGAGCTTGAGGTGCCAGAGGGGTGGATAGTGCTGGGGGCAGTGTGCAGGGTGTCTGCCTGCTCTGGGGATGGCGTGTGTAGCAGCAGCCCAGGAAGCTGACCTTCCAGAGCTCTTTCTCCCCAAAGGCTCCAATGTACGAAGATGTCCCAGAGTTTCCTGTCTACGCCACTGTGAGTAAACCCAAGAGTGTGAAGCAGGATGACAGCATTCATTATGCAGACATCCAAGTGTTCACCAAGGTCCGCGAACGCTCTGCAGCAGAGGTGAAGAACTTACAAATGCAGAATGCCACGGAGTATGCCACCCTCAACTTTCCCCGGCCCAGGCTGAAATATGACAGTAAGAATGGGACCCTGGTATAAAAGGCTTGATGGCCCCCTCCTTCTTCAGCAGCAAAAGGATTTCACAGACTTAGAGATGCTGTAGATGCAAGCTAACCTCATGGACACATCATGTCTTTGAGAAAGTGCAGAGAGGCTGTGTCTTCCACCTGCATTTCTCTTCAGAAGACACAGACTTATCTATTCTCACATGATGAGTAGTTTCCTATCTGATTCTGCTGACAAAAGACACCTCTTCCCCTTGGAAGAGTTGCCTCTGAAGCTGGCAACCCACCTCCTCTTAGCACCATGAGATGACAGAGCTGCTTCTTGGCTGATGAAGGCTAAAACCACAGCTCGGAGCTGCAGTGAGAAAGTTCCTGCTGTGGCACACGACCAGCTGAGTGCTGCTCTGCAGATGAATTTGGGAACATGACATCCAGGATTGAATACTGAGAAAAGGGAAATGTTGCCACAGGATTTTATGTCAATGTTGAGAAAATTCTGCAATGTGCAGAATGACATGTGGATGATGCTGTGAAGAAATAGCATGAAACCTTTGACAGTATCTACTGCAACATCTTCCTCCAACAGCTGCCACTGTAACTGCAGTCGTGCACTATGTGCATCCTCTTTTCTCAAAAAGCAGTGTTCTGTACCCATGCATAGCACACTAAAATCAAGGCAAGACATGCAAAATTAAATGAGGGGTACAGAACAACTTCTTTCACTGAAGGGCTGTACAGATACGCATCCTTACCCCCGACATGCACAGAAGTGAGCAATGAGCTCTTGGCTCTGACTGGAAATGAATCAAGAAAAATCCACAATTTAACTGTGAGGCAGCCATTTAAAAGCCACTGCCTATTATTTAGGGCAGTTATCCAGTCCTTAGAGTGCAGCAGCTGCCTGTGTGCTTGAGATACTGGGAATGAATCCTGGTCAACTTTGGAGAGCAAGCTTTGGACTTTCCCTCAGTTTTTTCTTATTTTATACTGTCAGCCTTAGTTATAAAACTCAGTAACATAGAGTGCACACCACGTGGTGCTTTCTGCTAACTGTCCCAGATACACCTTTGAGAATTTGTTTAGGGATTTAAAATAGTGTTAGTAATGCAGTATAGCAATCATCCAAAAGGCTTCTGCCACTGGACTGAATTTGGCAGTTGCAGCATTGGCAGTTGAACAGGGCTCCCAAGCAGTGTCTTCAGGCACTAAATAAATGCTTGGCACATGCTGTTCCTAAATAATGGTCTGCATAGCTAAATGCAGATTGTGGGACAACTTGTTTATTGCCAGTGTTTAAAAATGGGCATCCTGGTACATTTTATAAGCCTACATAATATTCCATATTATGGCTCAGCTAAATGTAAAAAGCATGAAGGGGTTCCTGCTCATTACAAAAATAAAGCTGGTATGGGTAGTGTTTGCTAAGATGGAAGTGTTTTGAGGACCAACCCTACAATTTTTCTATGTTTTTGTCTGTGCTATCCAGTACACCTCAGCAGGGCGATTGTAATGCCAGAGTAACATTTGCAGGAGACAGCCCCTTTTTTTAATAATGGCTACAATATATTTTTCTACCTGAAAAGGGTTTTTTTGCCCATGCTACCCAGGTGACCTCAGCGGGACTATTGTGAGGTCTACAGTAGACTGCTCTTCATTTATAATGGGTACAGGATTATGTTATTGAAAGGGCTGTTTCTTTTGAGTGCCAAGGATTCCTCTTTCTCCTCCTCCAAGTTCCTTTCTGTACTCCATGCTCAGCATGAAAACCTGTCCTTTGGACCGGGGAGGATTGAATGGGCACAGGGTTTACTTACAAGAGTGTGTCAGAGGCATGGGACACTCTAGCACTCAGTCCTGCTAGCCCAGCTGTCAGAGGAGCAGCCAGGACACAGATCCAGATCTGGTCCATGCTGGGCAGCACTTCTATAAATCCTTGCACTGAATCACTGGTACAAGAACTAGAAAGGGGACACTGGCTTCACTTCTAGTCAAGTCTTCTGCATCGTAGGAAGAAATTGCATTTTTTAGAAACATTATTAAATATGGACTTTAGTTCAGGAGATGGGAAGTTTTCTAGAAGCTGCAGACCCCAACAGGTCATTTTAAAAAACAATTTAAGTGAAACAGCCTGTTACTGCAGTGGCCTGCACAGTGTGTGGTACTCAAGTTTTCCTCACCCATCAGGAGAGCTGGGGACAGCAAGCTGCACAGACACTAAGCTCAAGCTCCTGGGCCCAGAGTGGTATAAATTTGTGCAGGCATCAAGTTAAACCAGTTTTGCTGTGGACATAAGTAGGTACTGGGCTTGGCTCAGAGGAACTTGCTTTCACTTAGTCATGTCACTTGGTTCTGTTGATCTGTGGGTCAGACCTTCTGTATTCTGAACAAATGAGAGCTATGGAGGAAACTATCTTTTAACAAGTGCCTCAAAGCCTGGAATGGTACTTTATCTCCTATTCCCTAAGGAGTTTCAACTTCCATACGTAGCTGGTACTTGGTGTTTTTTTCTGGAAGTACAGCATGCCTTAGAGATAATCAAATGCTAAGGAGGAGGACTCATACAGTGATTTTGCCTGTTTACCAGGCCTTGAATAAATAAAATGTGAAAGCCATATATTCTGCAATTAAGGATTTTTCTAAAGGACTGGGTTTGCACTGAATAGTAAAAGCTCCCAACAGCGTCTCTCCTGTGTTGCCCGGGATTGTTATGTTTAGGTGTTAAAGCAGCGTTAGCGTATCAACTGTTCCTTGAACCTTAAAGATGTAATTTTTAGTTTTAACCAATAAATTCGCACTTTTTGGGGAGGCTGTTGCCCGCTCGCTGCACTGCGGCCCCGGGTGAGCGCCTGCAGAGGTGCGGGCTGGAGCCCGCCCGGCCGGGAGCGTCCCCGCACTGGGAGCTTCCCCCGCGGCT